AAAAACCCCAACAGCGTCTTTGATTGAGTGTTGTCAAATTATAACCAGAAGATGCGTCCTCGGTCAGTTGAGCTGACTAAACTGTTCAGTTGTTGTATTCTAGGTTTTAATCTTTCCGTGTAGTTTTTCTGCGTATTTTTTGTTTTGTTTTTGTATTTAGGGGGCGGGGAGATTAGCTGTGTTGGGGTATAAGTAAGTACAAATGGGGGAGAGGGTGGAGGTGGGGGTTGGAGGTTGAGAAGAGGGTGGAATTACAAGGTAGAAAGGGTGACGTATTCACTATTCTTCGAGAGATACGTTGAAGCAGGCAGAGATAGGCAGAACAAAAGCAGATAGTGAGATTAAAGCCGTTACATGTTCACACACAAATACCGAAATACAGACAGACACACAGACACACACACACACATACATGAAACACACAAACCATCATAACTCAGTAGAAAACATAAGAAAGGGTGGAGACGAAGAAAAACCCAACAAAAAAACCGAGAACAGCAACAATAACAACAGCAACAAAAACAACAACTATGAAAACAACAACAACAACAACAACAACAAAAGTAAACTAAAATACCACCGGGCAACGGGAAAATTAACACTACCACCACCAACAACAAAATAACAACACCAGCAACAACAGAAATAGATATAACAATGACAAAAAGACATAAATACCGCTACAACCGCCAATACCACCACCACCACCACCACCAACAACAACAACAATAACAGCAAAACAACAAAACAAACTAAAATACCATTACTCCAACCTTCACAACCACCACAACCATCACCATCAACGACAACAGCAACAACAACAACAACAACAGCAGCAACAAAATGACCACAACCACCAAAATAACAACAGCACAAAAACAAAACAAACGAAAATAGCATGTTCTCCACCTCCACCACCACCACCAACAATAACAATAACAACAGCAGCTGCAGCAGTAACAACAAACAACAACAACAACAACAACAACAACAACAACAACAACGACAACAACAACAACAGCAACAGCAACAACAACAACACCTCACCCGCTACCCAAGAGAGGCCGTGGCACTGGCTTCGGGGCTCCAAACATTTCGAACGAATAGGCTATCACACACACACACACACACACACAACAACAACAACAACAACAACAACAACAACAACAACAACAACAACAACAACAACAACAACAACCCCATTCCGCCTCATCCCCCTCACCTTCCGTCCCACCGCGTTGTTGTGCAGGTTCATGAGGCTGCGTATGTTCCTGCCTGTCTGAGTGGCGGACTCCGGGGCGTCCACAAAGGTCTCGCTGAACCACAGGCCGTAGTTGACGTTGTCAGAACAGCCGCCCCACTTCCAGCCTTCCACGTCCGCCTCGCCGTACCTAGCACAGCAGAGAAAACGTAGACGTTAGAAAATCTAGTGAGGCATCATGGTGGAATCAGGCGCTCGTCAAAATAAAGAAATAAAAGAATCGGCTTTTTTTTTGGGG